TGTTTAGGTGTTATTTGGTAGTGTAAGAAAAATATGGTAAATTGTTTAGGATTTAGTGTGGTAAATTTATGGAAAACGATGAAATGTAAAAAATTCAATAATAGTATAAATGCTAAAAAAATAATAATAAATCATCTTTTAAAATCATTCACCAACAAAATAAGAAATCAACGAACATCATCACTCCATGGCATTCTCCTTCCGTGTGATGATCGGTACTTGGTCATTTTCAGGATTCCTGACATCCGATTTAGAACACCATAAACAGTGAATGTCCAGTCGCCAACTTTAGAGTTTTGATTGTAAACGGAAAAAAAAAAATACTTACCAACAAAGCATCTCGTCGGTAATACTGAGATCCGGATTCAACATAATCCTCGTACTTCCGGTAACATTGGTACATCTCCACCTATGTTCCTGTGATAGCTCTAATTTCACAAACTTGATAATACATATCACTGTGTTACGTGAACGATGCTTCCATAAGTCATAGAACTCGACTGCAAGGTCACCCGTTAAACGACACTCTAGATGGATACACCTAATTTTAAGATTTGAAGAAGTCATAAGACTTTATATTCTGGTTTAAATCTTTAAAAGAATAGTGACTTACTCAGTATCACGTAAATCAAAGTACAGCTCAAAATATCCTCCTTGAGAATGTTCCACGGAAGGAACAAAAACCAACTCTCTCACGTTGACAATTTTGCCAACAACATCTATGAAACACACACATGAATAATACAGTCAGAACATGAACCGCAAATAAACTCCAAAAGCACAAATAAATTTACAAATTAGGCTTACCAACGCAAATATTCGGATTAACAATACCACTCAATATACTCACAAACTCAGTTAGATTGAAATAGGTTCTACTGGAGCACATATTAATACTTTGCACTAAAGTGTCCGAACGAAACACAATCTTGAATCTATGCGGTACTGGTCTCAATATGCTGTTAACCCGTGATACATCAAAATTTTTAATGCTCACCCACTCATCGATTATCAATCTTGAAAGATAATTATCAATTAATTCATCACGAACAACGGCTTGGATTTGGGTGAACTGCAAATAAAACGTTAAAGACAAAACCAATTCAATTTAATATCGAAAACATGTATAGAAGGTAAGTTATCAAAAAACTAACATGCTCGTCACCCAAAATCATATTGAGCTCTCTACCCGTGCCACGCGAAACAGACCAACAATTCAAAATCTTCACCGAGACAGACCACTCACCCATGTTAGGATTAAGAGACGCAATACGAAAATAACCACCATCACATGGATCAGAGGTAAAAGGTATCATTGTAGAACGCATATAAAAAGATTTCTACGTTTGTCAATAGTTTTTTCGTGAGCTTGTAGATAACCGTCAATTTTGCTCCTTTTTCGTTATCATTGT